GCAATTAAAGAATAATTGAGCTTGTATCAAAATTGTAGAGTGTTGTACAACGGTAAACAACAGAAAATCCTATTAAGAAAAAAATGTACATTTTAAAAAATTATCAAATTATCATGGATTATGTAAAATAATATTTTAAGACTTTTATTGTATTATAGTACTATTTTTTTAACATCACGATAATTTTCTATTTAATAAAAATTTCATAAATTTCAAAACCATCATTGTAAAATTTATAAAAAATATTCAAAATGTGCATAATCTAATCTTTATAACATATAAAAAATTATGTGGTGAAAGTTTACCTGTGCAAAGTTATTTGTGATTTTCACTAACGAATACAAAATTTTAATCGAAAAATTTACAAAAAAATAGTATTTTTGAAAATTGATATGACCATAATGTGACTTGGGCGAGCAGATGGTTGGACAGCCGGGCAGCTTCATTTTTTATTTTTCTTTATTTTTCGGCGGCCTTTTTTTGCCGAAAAACCATTGGAAAATATTGCCGGAATTATTTTCCTATGCGGGTTTTACTGGCAGAAAATTTACTGCCGAAAAGCCACCGGTTTATTCCAAAACTAATGGAAAATAACCAATTGTTGTAGAAAAATGTCGTTGGTAATAGATGATTTTCCTGTAATGGTAGTTTTGAAAATATAATTCCATGTAGTTATGGTTGTAATTGGAGAAAGAGGTAAAAATGTGTTCTTCTAGAAATGAAACTATATAAATGATAGTATATATTTATCAACACATGAATCTAATGTAAGAACAATAGCTCATTTTTTATAGGAATTTATAAAAGAAATTTCTGATATCATTAGTTGAGATTTATCCCCATAGCTAAATATGTTAACATTTAATTAAGAAGCAATATATTATACTGAAGAAAATAACAAAAACTGATCATAAAAGCAGTCACATTCAAGAGCTTTCGCCTACTTCAGAAATATATACGCTATTTATATATGTTCCTGTTAACAGATATAGAAGATCACAATAGTTAGCTAGTCAAGAGGGAAATTAACTAAAAGTGTTTGATAAATAATGGAGAAAATAAATATTTTGTTCTGGTAGGTTCCAATGTCACATCATGAGAGATAATAATTAAATATTGTGGAACATGACTGTAAGCATGACTGGATCGATCTAGGAAGGAAGCAAACTTGGTATTCTACTATAAATAAATAAAACAACGTCGCCCAATTAATAAAAATGGCAAGTTGTGTGGTCCTTTGGTCCCTTCTCTATTGCAAATAGAGCTTCATAGGTTGTGGTAGTGCCACAGTCGAAGCTGCTCAACTTTTCAGACCTTCAAATTATGATAGCCACATGACATGACTGCATTTCATGATTTAACTTTGTTAATTTCTCTTCTTCAATAAATTTCATGCTGATTGTGATCTTATTAAAATATCTGCAAGCACTTGAGGAATATAAGTCGATACTTTGGTCACAAAAGGGTCAATAGCACGTTGAAATTATTCTTTTTGCAGTCATAATATTTATTGCAAAATAAGACTTTAAGTAGAACGTCAAAATTTAATCTTTAATGATCACAATCCATCGTTATAGCTCAATCTAAGAAGGATTTGATCGGATGTGATTGCAAATGGGTCTAAAAAATTTACATATAATTAGAATAGTTGGTGTGCAGAACAACTTCATAATATGGATCACTATAAGTGGATATAAGTAAAAACCTTTCATAATTTGCAAAATTTTAAGGCATTTTTTTACTAATAGTTAAAGCCACCCAAATCCCTACTTAATTCCACCACTAACAACTTCTGCATTTTTCACATATTAATTAAAGGCAGCTTCATTCACTATATAAATATTTATATTTACAAGAGCCTATTCTTCATCCTCCTCTCCTTATCTCCTAGAATGCCATCTAATGCTCCTTAATTATTATTAATTGTAGACCCCTCAGCATAGATGATAAATATCCATAACCTCATACAATGTGATTGGATGCAAGGTCTCTATATTAGCTCCCTCACTATCTCTATGAGGTAAAATATCCCAGCTTTATCTATGCTCGTCTCAACATGAATGCCAAAATCATATACTTGGCCCTAGTAAGCCTCCTTTTTACAAGCATCCTTCACCTCTATATTTATGTAGGTGAAGATCCTAACAACTTCACATTTAATCAATATTGAAGATTATTGATTAAGATATTTTTTGTTTAATTTATATAATTAGTCAAAAGATATAATGTAAATTATAGAAAAAATATTACAACAATTATGTATGATATATGACCAATATAATCATCGGTGCCTTTCTTTTTATGGGTCACCTAAAATAGCTCAATTTTTTATTAGAGTGTAACTTATGACAACCTCTTAATTATAATAAATAATATAAATAAACGTTCATAATAAAATATTTATTTTAAATAACACATAATAGAGAACATAATTTCATGAAACAATTATAAATATTATGATATAATGCTTGGGTGCATTAAACGGAATCAATGGAGCTTCATTAATATTTTGTATTGGCTTCTTAATTTGGAGTGAAATTGTTGGCATAATTAAGTGATGCTCGAGATCTTCCACCACTCCTCACTAACCTATTTTGATATGAGGTCATCTCATATAGAGATTCATGATACACATCTATAAAATCCCACAACTCATGGTGTTGTTAATATAGGTTAGATTGCCTTTTATGAGATCCTCGTGCTAAGCCACATTCACGGTTTAGGAAAAAAATCTCAAAATATCTTTTTCCAAATATTCTTCAACAAAGTTGCCTTCACCAGTAACTAATTAAGAGAAATGATCATTAATATAAGAAGAAATAAAATTAAGTTAAAAGTTTTAAAATAAAAATGTTGAGCTATTTGATGTTAAATTCTTGATTTAAATAAAAAGTAATTGAATTTCCCTCAAAAATGCTCCCAAAGACTTGTATGGATGACTAAGTAGATATATTGTGTCATATAAAAATGGAATGCGCGCATAGAAAATATTTTTTCCATATATATATATATATGGAATGCATGAAGGCGTCTTTGAGGTCCATATTCAAGGGCCTCAGTACCTATGATTAATAATGCTAGATCATACTAATAAAATAATAAAAACTTGATCACTAGAATCCCAAACAATGCTATGAAACGCAATGGGGCAAGCTATAGAATTAATCAAACAAGGATTAGCGCCCTTATTTAAAGGCCCAACATGTTCAATTGAGGAGGCTATAGCCAACACATTTCCAACCTTCCTACCATTTTTAGAAGGCAAAACCAGCATCACCGCCCATAACTAAGCCACAATAATTAACAAGATGAACATCAACAGGAGACAAATCAGTCGAATTCGAAGTAGGGACAATGTTAGCAATATGAACAACATCATCAGCCAGAGCCAAAATAAAATTGGCGACCTTTATAGAACTCACAGCAGGCTTAGGATGCAACATAGGGCAATCCAAATCAGAGTGGCCAAGCGACTTACAATAATCACAAAATTGAGGAAACTCCTCCATTTCCACAACTTGAACGTACCCAAATTTATCAGGACTGAGTTAGATGCAATCAGGATAGCATTTAGTGGTTTCTAGTTCAACAAGAAAGCGAGCTATAGAGGGGTGCATGCAAACCAACCGCAGTGGCATTGTCCGTTTTTAACGATTTCCCAAACAAGGGCCCCAAGCCATGAAGGATGCACGAGGGAGAAAAGAATTGAAGGCACAAATTAGGGAAAGAAATCTAAATTGGAATCATCGGAGATTCCACATTGACAAAGAGGAGACAATTTAGTAAGTTTCATAAAGGAATTGTTCACGAAATAAGACTGGTGAGAAAAAACACAACATTAGTCTAAATCCTTGTCCATCTTAATCAGCACATATTTAATTAGGGCTTAAAATCGTAATAGAGAAGGAACCTAAGATTTTTAGGTTGAAAAAGAAATTGTGAATGACATCAAGAGATGGTCGGCGGTTAGGAAAGAAATCAATCAACAAAAACTCAAACGGCGCTGCCAATGCGAGAACTTCGTCCTCTGAAATCCACGGAGAAGGAAGCCACAATGCGAAGAGACTATCAGCTTGGGAAACACCACTAAAGAGGATCCACCAAAAAGGTCCTAAAAAGGAAGGGGAAGAATACTTACCATCAAAGAAACTAGGGTCAAACACCTGATTACCCACCATTCCATCCGAAATGGAAAGGAATTATGGCAAGTAGATGATCATCACAAATAAAATGCATAAAGGAATCAAAGACGACAGAACAGAGATTTGTCACACAAAGGCGACACCAAATGCGAAACCCTAGCTTACTTCCATACCTTCTAACCATTAGGTATTTGTATTAAAATAATAAAAAATATTAATTGAAAATGATGATTATTAAAAAATTGTACTAAAGTACTGATTAATATATAAAAATCAGGAAAAAAAAAGCATAATCTTATTAATTAAAAAATATAACACCGTGTATATATTCTTCTCAAATAAATACTTAATTAAAACTCTTCTTGCTCCTCCATTTGTTCTCTTCATCAAGGATGGCATATATATATATATCATTGTGTATATATATCTCATCGAATTTCTTATAGTCAGCATCATCAGTAGAAATGAATAATAACACCTGTGTTGATTTATGGTGCTGTGTTGAGATGCTGACAAGGTGAGAAGCTAGCATAGATATATGCACTATTGATTTTATATAATTTTAAAGTTTGGTGTTGACGATAAGGACATTTGATTTGCTAAAGAGTTAGGCATATGTCTTTCAAATTCTCTCCGACGAGGCTGCTGTACGTTATGTAATTAATTGATTTAACTTTTTTCATGGTAAAATACTCCTTTTAACAGATGTAACTCATGGTGAAAATTTTTTAATCAAAATTATCTTCAAATGATCAGAAGAAAATAATGTTTGGCAGAGTTTTAGCTATAGTGTTTAAGGTGAATGTATATAATTTTTCCACTGTTAATGATAGTGCGATGCTTATTATTACGAAAAAGGCAAAGAAAAATATGGAGTGTGCTGTACAATTGGTAGGAATTGATGTCCACCACATGTTTGCAAATTATGCACACAACCTTTCTCTTTTAGGGTTTCTGAAGATGAAGAATCTTTTCCTTTCAAAAAGAAGATATATAGCGTTTTGCTGAGATTGAATCTCAGCTGCCGGCATCAAATCTTGAGGCTTCTCTGAAGAAGCGATCGATATGGTTGAATTTTTTAGTAAGATTTCTTCATCCTTATTTGCCTGCTCTTGGCATGCGCATGAGTACAAGTAAGTAGTTTCTTCTTCACTTATCACTCTCAATTTCAATAACCGATGGCTTAATCATTAGCAAAACAGATGTAAATCATTTGCATGTTCTATTTGCTTATTTCCCAACCAGAGCAGAGCTTTCTTGCTCTTTGTTTTTTTGTTTTTTTTTTTAAATGGAAAAAAGTGCAAAATAAAATGACTGAGGATAGAGAACTCCTTGGTAAAATCTTGGCTCATATATTGGTCTGTGTGTTAAGAAAAACAAGTCTAATTATAATTAATTTTTTGTCATCTTATCGTTTATGTTTTGTTTATTGTGTTTCCTCTTCTCCATTTTCATACAAAATTAAAACAAGTCATAAATGTAATTATATTCATCTTCGAGGTCAACTTATTTAATTAAATAAAGCTGCTGGCACAAAGCTCAATATTAAAATATCATTCTTATTTCTATAAGAATTTCTGTCGACTATACCGATCACATGATCGATCTCTGTAAACTAATAACAAATCACGGGAAATACCGGACAACACATACTGGTCCTTGTTTTTATTTTTCTATTAATAAAGAACAAACTAGCACTATTGATTCTGGCAATAACTTCATAAAATCCAGCAACAAAATACATACCAATTTGCCATCTTAATTCCTAGCTTTCTCATCTTTCCTTGCTCGCTTAACTTGCTAGATGTTTCTTCAAATAATAACATGACAAGATTAAAGCATGTTTTCATTTCAAAGATCTAATAAATTCAATAAACATATTTAATTATAAATATCTCATGATCAAGAATATATATATATAATTTGTCACTTATCAATTGCTTATTTTCTCGCAGAAGTTGATAGATAGGCAACAGTATAATTCAATCTCAGCTTTAGTATGGACATCATTAATTTCCAACAAATTATTCTCAGTGATGAGGAGGATTAGATCAGTGCTCTTAAAATGATAAAAGATACAGAAGAAAAGGAACGGTTTCCATTTACTAATCCAGAAGGTAATACAGAAATTATCAACAACAGAACTACAACTGGCTCGAACAGCAGGCTATGGTCCAGTCTTAAAGATTCAAGAATTGTAAGAGTTTCAAAAGCATTCGGGGGAAAAGATAGACATAGCAAAGTATGCACCGTAAGAGGTTTAAGAGATCGTCGTGTAAGGCTTTCAGTTCCTACAGCTATTCAACTATACGATCTCCAAGATAGACTTGGTCTCAACCAACCCAGCAAAGTTGTAGATTGGTTATTGAACGCTGCTCAACATGAAATCAACAAGCTTCCTCCACTCGAATATCCTTTCGAAAATTTCATTCAGCCTCATCAATCTTCAGATCAAGCTTCAAAAGCAAAGAGTACTTATAACCCTGATCAGTCTTTTGATGTTGAAGAACACAACCTAGGAGTAGAAAGTCCAGCATTAATGTTTCAAGATGTTGGTATCTATAACGCTCAATCTTCATTTCATCAAGATCATAATCTGCTGTCCAATAATTCAAGAGGAGGAGGAGGAGACCAAGCTTTGGGTTTGATTAGTAATATTGGAAGCTTTCCTTACGCTTCTTTCTACCACTGGGATCAATCAAACAGAAGTTACTTATCACAGTTCGAAATCGTTTCATCTCAAGTGGATGTAGCTCCTGCATCAGTGATTTCTTCTTATACGACTAGTACTGTTCCCTGTGAGTTAGAAGGAATCTCAGCTCAGCAAAATCTTCCTAACAACAGTGATACGATATTCAGGAACTCTTTTTCTCTCAGCTACTCCAATAGCTAGACCATTTTAACTAGCCTGTGAGCTTCAGTTTCTGAAAAATATATGGTGTTTCCAATTTAGCGCGTTATTAAGATCATAATAACATTTTGGAGAAGATTTGATATTTGTTGCTGCACATGGGCCGACTTATAGATATACAAAATATATTAAACTCCTGCTTAGTTTATACAAAGCATGCAAGTGAATGCAAAGTGGATGCTTATAGAGAAGTGCGCATTCTTGAATGGACATTGTCTAGCTTTGCCGGTCTAGTTGGTATCTATTTCAACGCGAAAACTATTGTGTTCCCCGACTCAGCCTAAAAGAAATATTTGCCATTTGTGATTCATTCAGCAAGCTGTCTTTTTTTTTTCTTTTTTTTTTCGGGAGGATGGCAGCTACAAATACTGATTAAGCAAGAAGCGGCGTTGCTGCGAAGAATTGAATCAGGTGGCTTATAGATCTATAGTGCCATATTCTGCAATAAATGCTTTATTGCTTATTTGCTTTTCCAGTACTGATGGAACAGTTTTTAGTTCCTTTGTTTTTTGAATCTTCTGTGCAAGGGTTTTTATATAGGAAAATGATATGCTATCATATACAAATTAGTTTGCATTTAATAAAAGTGTTTTTATATAGGAAAATGGTATTGGCTTTTATTGATTTATTGACTTAATTTACTGTCAAGTTTTCTTCTGTTTGACATTAAATTAATAGGAATTTTGCTTTGTTTAGTCTATATTTGCTTACTCATGAAAGTTTCTTGAAAACTATTGTAGTGGGAGAAATTACTTCCACTTTTTTAATTGTTTATTCAAATTTAAAATTTAAATTTTAAAATTAAAAAAAATTATATTATTATCCCTTGGAGCTAGAAACTCGTCTTCCCTTAAAATCACATGAGTAATCATACTTTGATGGTTTTAGGCGCCTTCATTGTGTTACAGTAGTCTAGGGTAAATTTTATCACGCTTCGCTTGCCCTAAGCGCCGACTCGGGCGATTTTAGGGTTCCCCTCCTCCTTCGATGATCTCTTCGCCTTCGCGTCCTCTCCGCTAGCGAAATCTTGCTTTCTTCTCACTTTTCCTGCGCTGGTGTTCGTCTTTGTTGCTTGGCCCTATTAGGGCATCAAAGATATGGCGGGGGCTTCGTTCTCTACGCCTTGGGGGAATGTTGCCTCCCAGGTTCAAGATACAAACAAAGGTTTATTTAGCTTGGATTCGGAGGTTCCTTCTCCTCCTCAGTCGCGTTCTTTTGAAGATATTTTCTCTAATTCTTCGGCAGGTGATGCCCTACCCTCTTTAACTCAATCTATGTTTAATGGTGTGCCATCAGTTATGCTTTCGGATGAAGAAGTTCTAAAACTTGCCTCTTCTTTTCAATTTACTCTGGTTGAAAATTTTGGACTGCGAAGGCCAAATCTGGATTCGATTCGTGCTTTTTTCGGTAGCCTTAAGCTCTCGGGTTTTTATTCGGTTGGTCTTATGGATTCGAAACATGTTGCAATCCAGCTCTCAAATAATCTTGATTACAGTCGTGTGTTTGCCCATAGATCTTATTTTATCCTTAACTGTCAAATGCGTATCTTGAAGTTGACGCCTTTCTTTGATGTTAGAGAAGAATCTCTCATTGTGTCTATTTGGATCACTTTTCCTAACCTTAGACTTCATTTTTTCAATGCTAAAGTCTTACATGCTCTTAGATCTATTTCCTGCCGCCCCTTGTAAACTGATCAAGCTATTGCATCTAGCTAGAACCCATCCATCTGTGGCTAGGGTTTTAGTTGAAGTTGATATCACTAAGAAACATGCTAAGGAAGTTTGGGTCAGATCTAAAGCTTTTAGTTACTTACGAAAAGTGGAGTTTGAAAAAGTTTCTGATTTGGGTAATCATTGTAAAACTCATGGTCATGCGGTTTCTGATTGCTTCAAATAATATCCAAATCTTAAAAAAAAAAATTCAACAACTCGATGGGGAAGGTGCTCACTAATGCTATAGATACTATTAACGAGAATGTTGAAGACCTGATCATTTGAATAAGGTTGAGACCCAATCCCCTATTGGAAGGTTGGAAATGAAAATCTAAATTACTCAGATAATTTGATGGCTTCGAATAATACTCCTAATATTTCACTTGAGAAAGTTTCTCCTACTGGTAAACATATTGAGGAAGGTGATAAGCTTCCTAACCTTTTTGTTTCTATTGACTCTATGCTACAAAATAAAGAGAACCACTCTCTATTGCTTAATGTGGATACTAATGAAAAAGAGAGTGTGGAGGAATGTGAGGATGTGGATACTAATGAAAAAGAGAACCACTCCCTATTTCTATGGTTCTTATTAATAATAATGAGAAAGTGGGAGTTACTAATACTTCGTCTTCATCTGTTCTCTTTGATAGTGACTCTAAATATTGATGAGGAAGGAGCCTTTAAGATGAATAAAAAGAAAAAGAAAAATGGTAAAGCTCATTTACCTGATACATCTCGTTCTACTAGGGCTCGAACTTTTATTAAAAGTTCCAATGATTAAAGCCCTTATTTGGAATGTGAGGGGTATTGGGGGGTCTGATTCTAGGACCCGTGTCAGGAACTTATGTCGTGTGCACAACATTCAACTGTTGGTTTTACTATAACCTTTTATTTCTGCTGATAAAATTGCTATTACTATTTCTCGTTTGGGTTTTAACATGATGTTTGCTAATTGTTCTAATAAAATTTAGATTTTGTAGAAGAGTCATTTCAACATCCATGTTATTTTTTATTTTGCCCAAGTTGTTCATGTGCAAATATCTTATTCCAATTTTAATTATAATGCTTCTTTGTATATGCTGCTTGTACTAGATTGGGTTGGCTTCCTCCCTGGGATCTTTTATTGGATTTTGCTCTTAATTCTAATGGTCCTTGGTGTGTGGGTGGTAATTTCAATATTATTTCTAATGCAAATGAAAGAATAGGGGGTAACCCCCCTAATGTCAATGCTATGGATGATTTCAATTTCATGATTTCTAATTGCAACTTATATGATATTGATTTTATTGGTGGTGCTTTTACTTGAAGTAGATCTTCTATGTGGCAAAGACTTGATAGGATTCTCTTTAATAATGATTGGATAAGAGAATTTTCTATGACACGTGTTCAGCACTTGAGTAGAACTTTATTTGATAATGTTCCTTTACTTATGACCATATCTACTAATAAAATTAATGTTTCTTTGGATTTTAGGTTTAAAAAAATGTGGCTTACTCATTCAAATTTCTTAAATGTGGTTTCTACTAATTAAAATATTTTGTGTAATATTAAGGAAGTTGAAGATAATGTTTTGGAGTTGGATAAGTTGTTTTTAGAGAATCTCATTAGTTACTCATTCGAATTTCTTAAATGTGGTTTCTACTAATTAAAATATTTTGTGTAATATTAAGGAAGTTGAAGATAATGTTTTGGAGTTGGATAAGTTGTTTTTAGAGAATCTCATTAGTGACAATCTTTTCAATCTTGATAATGCTAAAGTTCATCTTTTTCAATTGCAAAATAAGGAAGAAATCTTTTGGAAATATAAGGCTTCTGCTACTATGGTTTTGAAGGGGGATAGGAACATTTTATTTTTTCATGCTTTGGCCAATAAAAATATAATCAAGAGTCATATCGATATAATTGTTAACAATCAAGGGTACTTTTAAAGTTATTGAATTCATTAAAATTGACCTTAGTGGAGAAGTTATTCGCTAGCAGACCACCTTTGCAAAATATTTAGTCCTCTTTCCATGATCTAACATTTATTGAGAATTTTGTTTTCTTTGCTCAAACATGAAAATATTTTTTAAAAGCAAAAGGATAATGTTTATATTAATTAAAATGAAAATGCACATTTGAAAATCTTAGTCCCAAATAAAAAGAAATAAAAAAGTGATACAAATTTGATAAAAATAAAAGTCACATCATCTACATGCTCATACAATGCATAGAAGAAACAACCCATAAGCAATTACAAATTTAGATGGATCACTACTCTTTAGGAAGTTAACAAATAATCTCATTTTAATGTGATGTCTTCCCATATATTTTATCCCTCTACCCAAAGGAGTTGATGAAAAAGTAACAAATGAGTCCAAGGAAAATCATATATGGATATGATATTTCAATGATGAAATTTTGATTTGTTTGAGCCGCTGATACATAAAGAAAAAAAAAATTGTTTGAGTATATAAAATGGATAAAATTATTATGTTTTGCTGTTATTAGATGAGGTGGAGGAGGAAGGGTAACAACCTTAGATGAAAAAATATCCTCACAAAGTATAAGCTTACTTCGATTTATGGCAATAGATAGCTCATGATAAAAAAAAGTGAGCTTATTAGTAATGAATTGATTCATTTGATCACTTTCATGCTATAGAATTATCCATTGAGTCACTAAGGAAGAATGATGACTTGGTTGAAAAGAAAGAGATGCCACAAAAGCAGTACTGTTTATAAGAACCCCTTTAGGGATAGGATCTAATTGCATTAAGAAGTGGTTATCTATCTCATTTATATTGATTTTCATAAGATTTTTAGCATGTATGCTGGGAGTTGATATGCCCAAATAAATATCAATGCTTACAAAATAAACAAAGTTTTTCAAGACAATTCTTGATATTGACATGCCAAAAAAAATGCCCAATCTTACAAAATATAGAATCTTTTTTTAAACCATTTTCTTATTACACCCATATTTTTTTTAGAATCAACCAATATAACTTAGAGAAATGCTAACTTATATAGATCTAATTCTCCATACTTATACAATGGAAAGCTTATAGAGAGTAGTAGTTTGTACATCTATGTGAAGTGGTTTGCTAAATGATGAAGTCAATGTAAATAACATTATACTATCAAAAATATGGGCTCTTGTGTGTGGAAAAAAATTCAAATTGGTGTATTAGGGTATTCAGAGAAATAATTAAAATTAGGTGATCATTTGCTAATCATTATGAAATATATCTTAATATTTAGGATATTCGATAAAACGATAACTAGATAATCATCCACTTTGTTGAATTGCATAAATATACTCATTATGTAGAGATCCCACCTAAAAAACTAAGACCTTGTAGAGACCCCCTAATCGTATAAAATGTTGGTCTTAAACATGTGCTCTTAAACTTTTGTCAAATTGAGGATCACTTAACTCCCTTTCTAAGGAAATTAGTGTTGATCGATGGTTCTATAATGTAGCTATTTAAATGGTCTTCTAAATTTAAGTTTTTAAATGACTCTTCTATTATCCTTGTTTGAATTATATTCCATCATTTAAGAGTCTGCCTATTTGATAAATCCATTCTTTACTGAGTAGTATTTTTATTCAAAAATCTTTAAGTAGATTCACATATATCTTATATTTTGCAGCTCTCAATTGCTATAATTCTAATAAAATTTGATGTTACTTGAAGCTTCCCAAATTAGATGTGCAATAATTTTTAAGAAAAATATTTTGGAAAAAGATTATTTTTAAGCGCAGACCAAAATTTTGTTCTCATTAGCTCTTACTTGGGCATTAGATTCGAGTATGTAAAAATTTTTCTTAAGGGAGCACCCACTATCAGCAAAAAAATACACTATTTGTGAAGACTCTTCCTCACTTCAAATTATTAAATGCCATCACCT